AACCACACACACAGACACAAACACACAAGCATCAGGTGCTGCAGAGCTAGTCTCTCATGTCTGTCTTCATGACATGTGATGTTAGAGCCACAGGCCTGAAGTCAGAGAGCCCTGTTGGAGCTCTAAACCCCCACATCACACCGTGAACAGTTGTTACTGAGACTATTATTTCAGTAGGAAGTAGTTTTCTGATTTTATCTTGTTGTCACGTCCGCTGCCTCAGTTGTTTTGCATAGTCTGCCTCCAGCCACTTTCCAGAACAGCCATTCTCCATCTGTCCACCAGATGCATTCGGACAATCCCTCCAATCCTGGCCACCTAACTGCTACCTCCACCTGCTCACCTGTTTGTAACCTGCCTGCCTTGCCCCACTGGATTTGTTTTCTTATTCTCAGACTGGAGAATTAGCGCCACCAACTGTTTGTCCAGTAAAAGGCTTTCATTTTTGACTTCTGCGTTCCTTCCGTTGTTAGCACTGTAAAAATGTGTTACTATTGTGGAGGGCACAATTTACCGTGTAATTGTTCGTATGCAGATTTACTTTGCAGGATCCACAGGTTTCAGCAATTCCAATTACATTAATTGATTTTGAATTTTTAAAATGCTTTTAGCCCGTAATGTGTCCTCTTTTACATATTTTCCACCTTAATCTGAATATTTAAAAGAGTTCTGTATTTAGATCTGTTATTAATTACCTGTTAGTGCTTTGTTCTAGTCCTCTGTTCGACTTCCTACACTGTTACAGCCACTTCACACTGTAGCAGTCACAGACAGCAGACGATATTCCTTATCTCCTCATGATTATTTGATCTTGTTTCAGTGGTTAGATAGTTATCTGTGCGTGTATGTGTGAGAAACAGACAGATTTCCTGTTGATGATGTAAAATGTTCAAACTGAAACACTTGCTCATTATGTTTAGTTTTTTTCCTGCAGCACAACTTGTTAGTTCGTCCAACATTTTGGTCCAGACTGAAAATATCTCAACAAATCTTAGATCGATTGATATGACATTTTGTACAGATATTCATATTCCTCAGAAGATGAATCCTAAAGACTTTCCTCATCATCAGGTCAGCATTTCAATTTGACCTATACTTTTGTTTATGACCAACTACCTGCAAAGCTAATAACATTCCCATCAGCCTCAGCTGTACTTTGTGCTAATTAGCAAATGTTAGGATGCTAACATGCTAAAGTAAGATGGTAATCATGGTTTACCGGCTAAACATCAGCATCATTGTGTCACTGTGAGCATTTTAGCATGCTGACATTAGCATAGTTCAATTTTAGTGATATTGCTCCAATTCACAAGAGTTATCTTATTGCGCTTTTCACATACAGTAGAGCAGGTCTAGTTCGTACTTTTTGTAATATTGTTTACAAAGACCCAACAATTCCCAACACGAGCAAGCATTTAGCTCAAAGCACAGCTGTGTTTTAAAGCCTCACAGAGCGGCTAGCATGGCTTTGACTTGTCCTTTCCTGCAAACACAGCAGGCAGCAGGGTGTTTTTGGCAACACAGACCTAAGGAAACGGATCTGAGCCAAAATATTTGTTTGTTGATGTGTCCTCAGTCCATCATGCCCCTCTGCAGCCTATTTGCAGCAGCGCAGAGTTTCATCTGTCATGTATAGACATGCAAAAACTAATTTCCTATTTCCTGCAACAGCGTCTGCAACATGCTGACTAACACTGAAACCCACACACACATAAAACACGCAGAGCGACTACAGAAACAGAGGTGGGGGGTGAAGCTTGACTACCAATGTCTCTGTGTCACTATGGTTTTCATTGCTGCACTACTGAAGTGCCCTTTACCATGTAACAGTCCACCCCCTCAATGCCCCCCACACCCCAACAGCAGAAACATGTGGTTGAAGACAAAGCACAAAGTAAAGTGCAGACAGAGATACATTGGCTACTCATCTAATTTCTTTTATAACTGCCAGCCAACTCATTCACCCCATCCACCATGTTATTTAGTTTGTTTCCTCATTTGAACTTAAAGCCTCTGTTCGAAGAAAAACAACGTTGGAAACGGTAGTGTGTTGTAGTTTGAGCAGGTTTAAAGGGATTATGGTTTAGTGCATTTAAAAGTCTGGTCAGACTGTATATTTTTCTTCTTCGTCTACAAATCTCATGAAAAGATCCTAAGTAACAAGTACTGGGTGTGTCTCTCAGCCTGATGTCTCTTCTCCCTCCATTGTTGTCCAGAAACTATTAAAAACCCATTAGTGAGCCTCACTGCTGCACTGGGTCACATGTTCCTTCATCCCCATGAACACACACACTGTAGTGTATTCTGTCTCAGTCCCACTGACACCGTCCTGCTGCCTCAAATACTCGTTAGAGTGCCACATGTTGGTTCATCCGCCGCTGAAAATAGTCCCCAACAAATGAGCCTATTTTTAATCCACCCATCCATACCTGTTCCCAGCTGATTCTAAAACTATCTATTTTCTGTTTTTAAAGATTTATGGAGCTGAGAGCCACAGACAGGAAGTCAGGAAGTGTTGAGAGATGGACTAACACATTGTTAGTTTGGGTCTTTTTATCGGATAACACCAGAATTAGGCTTTAAGTTGAAGTCCAAGTACAACCAAGAAGACTGACCTAGCTAAAATATTGTAATGTGGCTCTATACTTCTTCTTTATTTTGGCTCTGGGAATGTTACATCTCATGTTGATCTGACTGCTGCTGGCAGGCTGAATAACATCTCAACACTGCCACTGAGGAAGTCACACCACCCTCTGACAAACAAAGTAACAAAACACAACATTTTTCTTTAAAGAAATTATTGAAAAATGATATATCTGTCAATTTGTTTGCATCTCACAACGGTTGTGAAGTCCCTCTAAGACAGTGTTGTGACCACACACAAACACAGCTCTGCTCTCCAGCTGCTGTGGGGAAGCACAGCTCCAGTTCTTAGAAGTCACAACCTCACAAACACACAGAGCGCTCATGGTGCATTGTGGGTAAGGGCTGCAGTTACAGTAAAAGAAGGCTACCTATTGTTTCCCATAAGTGAGGTCACAGGAAGAGCATGGCTGTGGGCTGGAGGGAGGGTCGGGGTCTGAGTTTTTGCAGCTGCAGAAATACCCCGACCCGCTTGTCTGCCTGCAGAGGATCATGGTCTGTGAAATTCAGCACAAAACAGAGTAGCAAAATTTCATTTTTGTTTGAAGCACAATGTGGTTCTCTGTGATGGAGTTACAACAGCAGTAGTTTTACAATTAACAGAAAACATTGGAGAAAAATTCCAAAAATTAAAACTGAGAAAACTTATTTCCTATGCCGTTAATTATCTCACTACCCTCAGATTACTCTGGTGACCCTTTGGAGGGGAACAACACCTAGATTGAGAACAACTGAACTAAGCTACCTCGTTGCATATAAAGTAGTTTGGAGTTATTTATCTCTTACTTGGCAGCTCTGCATCCAAGCAGACCAAAATGGCATGGGGAGCTCCCCAGGGCTCAATTATAGGTCCTCTTTTATTTACATTTACATGCTTCCGTTAACAAATAAAACATATTGGATCATATTTTATGCAGACGACACCAAAATGTATCTAGCATTATTACCAGGTTACAACAGTCCTGTGAATGAAACAAATCAAAGCAAGTTTCAAAGCTGATAATTTGAACAGCTTCCATTGTATCACACGAGTTGTCTCAACTTGTCTCGGTTGACTTTAAAGACAAGAGGTCCTAAAAGTGCTCAGAAAGAAATGCACAAAATGTGCAATGAACATCTTCAATTAATAACTCAACTTAATATATTATATTCATGTTCCTTTAGTAGAACCTTGAGGTGAGATTATTGTGTCAAAGAAATGTTGTGTTGTACCTGAACTTTCTTCAGCATAATGCAGACAAAACTGAGAATTATCTTTTCTGCAAGAAAGAAGTGTTACGGTTTTGTGCCACTAGGCATGTCAGTGGTGAGCGTGAGGCCAACAATGCATTGTGATTCTGCCAGACGCACCGGTGTGAGTTTCAGAAGCGTCCCAGAGATAGCTTTCCGCTCTGTGCGGCTTAAAATACATACCTAGTCTATTTTTGACAGGGTCAGGATACACAGAGCAGACTGAGTCAGGCAGGAAATCACACACGGCATAGAGCATCCGGTCAGTTTTCAGAATGATACCTCCTGTGTAGACTCCCAATCATAGATAAACAATAAACTTAAAATAAAAAATAAAAAAACATTTAACTATGTAGAATACTTACCAATGGTAGGAGCACACAAGTCAAGTCAAGACAAGCTTATTTGTATTGCACATTTCAACAACAAGGCAGTTACAAAATAGATAAAAGCAACATAGGGAAATCAAACCGGATCTTCTTTATCATACGATATTTATTTCCTCTCATTCGCAGTCAACACTGTGAATCTTGGTGAAAGCTGTCAAAACAGCAGAAATAAACTTCTTCTTGGCCCACAAAAAAGTCAGAAATGCAAGTGTAACAATGGACTAAACTTTAAAGTGGTAATCCTTAAGATTTCAGTCCAGGTTGTTTTGATTCTGGTAAAAGAAACTATTGTCGTTTTAATAAATAAGCCAAAAAAGTAAGTGGCCTTTTTCCATCAGTCTGTGAGCAACCATGATCTGATTTTATGCTACACACGGCATAAAACTTAGTTTTGAACCTGAGCTACAGTGCAGCGAAAGGAGTTGATTACTTTGCTGAGAAATTGCATTGCATTGCAAACAGCTCACAAAGGCTGATCCATTTTTGATGAATGATAGCGACCAGTGCTAACACATTGCATTTCCTGTGACTATATCATAACAAAGGTCAACTCGTGGTTTGTTAAATGCTTTTAATGAGAAGCTGCAGCAGTACGGACATAGGCTTCATTGTGTTGATAAATAATGATTTAACAGAACATCAATAAAAATCTTAGAGATTATTGCTTTAATAGCCACATCACATCAACAACGAAGTGCATCTTATCATCATAAAAGAATAATGTCACGAATCAGAAAATTAAGTTCATTCTGTTTTATTCAGTTTCATTTGTCTCCATGTGCCAATCAATAAATACACAATAAATTAACAAAAGTCAGTCACATCAGTCAATATTAAATAGACATGTTAAATACAAAAATAAATATAGAAAAATTACAACATTTTAGGAAAATACAAAAATCCCTAAAGAGTATAGTACTACCACAGCTGCCGAGTTCCTGTACCTGAATGTTCAAAGGACTTGTGGTACATTTAAGTACATCAGCATTAAACTCTGGTGTGCTTTGTACTGTAAACATCATCATCATCATAAGTTAATTTAGGCGGTACAGTGGTGATGTTGGTGGGGGGTTCATGGAGTGACCGTTCAATATTTATCATTTATCAAAACTTCTGCATCATTGATGAAAAGTCAAATGCAATGTACAAAGGGAAACCAACAATTACTTATGTAAGATGCCTTTCACATGTGATACTTTTTTTTTTTTTTTAAAGGTGAAATACTGTAAATATCATATGTGAAAACATATCGAGGGGGGAGTTTGACATCACAAGTTCATACTTTTTCTTTTCTGATTGATCTTTTTTTTGTCTTATTTTTGAGAAATGCTAAAATAGAAAAAACATTTTACAAGACAAGATCACATGTGATTTGCCATTCAAGTAATTAAACTTAATTTTAAACCTGAGCTGCTGATAATTAAAGATATTATAAATCTGTCTGGTTGATTTTCTGGGCGTTAAATCATCTGCCGTTATAGAATAGGTAAATATCAAGATATCAAGTATTTCCAGGTGATTTTAAATAATTCTGTGATTGATGAAGTGAGTGAAACTCCATGTTGAATACAATTAGTTATCAGCTGCCCAGATCTTGCAGTAACAAACATTTCCCAGAATCAAACCGCCACTCTTCAAGTATCGAGCACCGACCGAACTTCCATAAAAAATATATCTATATCTATCTCTATATATTACAAAATGACCATATTTATTAGGCTTAGACTGCTGTAATAGTAAATAAAATGTCAATGTAATAAATATCTATGAAATAATCTCTTTGATAACCTCTAAAAACAGAAAAATAACTTGGTATGCTGGTTTAAATATGGAAATATTTCACATGTTGTATTGTCACTTTTACGTTTGTCATTAAATATCCTGTGTCTGTGTTTTACTGTTTTGTCTTTTGCACTTTGTTTTGTTACTGTCATTGTTGACATCTTGCGCGTGTTCTAGACTCTCAGATGAGTTTTGGCCCTCCGCGCTTGCCGACGTCGGCGCCTCCTCTCCATCCTGATGTTTTCGGTCAGTGTGCTCGCCTCCTCGTACAGCCACGGCAGCTCCCACAATGCTTTGCTCTGGATGACGAAGTTATCCATCTAGAACAGAGGGCGAGACGGGGAGGGAAATTTTACATTTACAGCCAATCCCAGCTGACATCAGGGACCTGTCCAGTCCATCGCAGGGCCACACATAGATGAACAACCACTCACGGTGGGAGGAAGAGAGCACCCGGAGAGAATCCACACAGACACGGGGAGAACGTGTCAACTCCACACAGAAAGGCCGGGGTAACCGGGGTTTGAACCCTCGACCTTCTTGTGGTGAGGCTAACCACCGCACCACCGAGCCGCCCCACATAAACCTCACATCATAAGCCCTTCACTGTGTACTCTCTACATAAACCTTCCATAAATGTTCATTTAAGCCCTTCATAAATTCTTTTTAACTCAACCTCACATAGGCCATCTGTAAGTCCTGCACAACCCCTTAAAATAAGCTCTATTCTAACCTTAAGCTTTATTTTAAGTAATAAATCAACCCTCCAAATAACCCTTCGTTAAGTCTTACTTTAAGGCTGTATTCATAGGCCCTACATAAATCTTTCATAAATCGTAATCTAAACCCTACATTTGCCCTCTGTCATCGCTGCATGAGCTTTAGTTTAAGCTCACATAAGCCAAACACTGTATTGTTTCTACCCAGGTTGAAAGCCCAACAGTCCAGTTGTTGCATACATGTAATATATTATTGCTCTCTCTCTTTCTCTCTCAGTGTGAGTCTATGTCTCTTTACCTGGATGTGTTTGAGAGCCTGCAGTCCCCGCAGAAGCTTCTCCTGCTCACGGTAGCCTTTTTGCTTCAGATCCTGGACCGTCTTCAGGATGTAGCTCAGCTCCGCCCTGATATCTCCGCCCTCTCCCGCCTCAGCATCACCGCCAGCGGCGGGGGTAACAGCGGAGGCGGGGTGAGTCCCGGCTTCCTGGGGACTTGGGGTGGGCAGCTGCTTCAACATGTGGCTAATCAGCTTTTCATACGTGTCCAAAACGCCACCCATAAACACCATCTTTGCCTGAAAACACAAATACAAAATTTTGTTTCTGGTAGGTGATATTTAAATTACTAATGGCTTACTAATCCTGAATTTCTCTCTGCTGCATTTTCCATAGCAAAAATGCAGCTTTTTGGAGAAAGTTTCAAGTACACATTTGTTGTTATTTTGCTAAACCATATAAGAGCAAAAGAGTTCCTTTGGTATGAAAAATTTGTCTCAGCTTCAAGGTGCTGAAAAGTTTTTTACACAGTGGAAAAACTCTGTGGTTTCCCCCAAAGGAGTTAAATTAAGCGTAGAGTAGGCCTTAAAGGGTAATATGCAATATTAATATGTAATATATGTAATAAGGGACATTTTATTAATTAGTGAAGACACACTTTTAAGACTCACTAAATGTCAGACAAGTGCTGGTTTAAGGTCTTACCCTCATCAAAGTTCTGTGTTAAACTTGATGAAACGGTATTTCAGCGAGCCTTGATGAACCTGATGACCCACACATGTTGTTGTAGTTTTGAATCTAGATCATTTCTGGCACCTTGGAAGCAGGTGAAGTGCCATTACTCTACTAGTATATTTTTTCAAATGATCTAGTGGGTTTTCAAGGAGCAGAATTTCTTCAGAATTTATGTAGGCATGTAATCCTTCAAAATACTGAAACATGTATATATGAAACTCTTGACCTAACAGGTTAATTTTTGCCTAAAACAATGTTTTGACTGAGATGAGTCACATGAGGATGCTACACTGGAACTTATTCAAAGAAGATGATGAATGTCACACCTATGTTGTTTGTGGTGAGGGAAAAACAAAACGGGAAAACCCAGAAGGGTGGTGTGGGGAGGCTGGCCTGTACGTCTATGTTAAATACCACTTTCTATACAACAAACTGATCCCTGTCAATCCTGACATTTAATGTATCTCAATGCTGTAAGAAACAAATTAAGAAAATGTGTCATTCATAATTTTTCCAACAAGCACGTGGGCCAGATTCAGGCCACAGTTGGGTCAAGACAACATGAACTTGCTGATTTCAGTTCCAACAAGGGGCCAAAGTGCTGCAAATTGGCTAAAAAAGTCCTAATCTTGACAGAGCCAGCTTACAATTGTACACAGACACTCTCCCACAACTTGCTTTTCCAAAACTATGTTCAAATTGGCTTTCTAGTTTAAAACATCAAGTATTTTTCGTAGGTACAGCATGAACCAATGCTAAATACCATAGCGTTTAGAGCTAGCATTTAGATCTTGTTAACCACACACAAAAAGCAGCAAACATTCCATCATCTAAAGGTTATTCATGGGTTGGTGTTTAGTAGTTTGATTGTTGTGTTAGCGCTCAGTACCCGAAACCAGGCATGCTTTGTATCATTGATGGTGAAGAGTGAAAGTTTGGTTTGGAGCCTGAGAGTAGTTGCACAAAGTTTGCACAATGCAGAGCCAGCAAGAAAAAAAAAACAACACACAAAAACCTCAACAAAAAAACTCCTGTGCAATAAAGAAGCTGCTCACAGTGTCCGCCAGCAGTGAGAAAGAAAGAAGCCAGCTGCTGACTCAGTGACTAGTTAGCTAAAGATGGAGGAGAACATGGAAGGAGCTTAAAGCAGTCCAGTCTCTAATGCACACCACAACACTGCACTTGGAAATACGCTAACACTCGGTGAAACTTGCTGCACTCTAAAGCTCTTTAAAAATATCCTGAATAATCTTAATAAAACCTTAATTTGTCAGACTTTGTGAATGTTTTTTGCCCTGATCTGTGCCTCCCAGGCTGTGTACCACCAACAGGTTCCACCAAATCATAAATCAATGAATTCAACATGTTGGGAAATAATCATCCTTTCCAGAGTTAGACATGTCTGTGCGTTAAGTACTGAGGTGGAGTCAAGAGGCAATTAGCCTAGATTAGCATAAGACTGGAAGAGCTGTTAGGAGGTGCATTTTCTCACTTTAAGACCCAGGCTGACTGTCTCCCCCTACATCTAGTCTTTATGCTAAGCTAGGCTAACCGCGTTCCTAACTCCAGCTCATCGTGAACACACAGTCCTGACAGTGGCAGTTAATCTTCTTTTCTCACTCTTGGGAAGAAAGAAAGGAAACATATTTCCCAAAATGTCGAACTATTCCTTTAAGGTTATGTTTGAGATCATGCGGTTGGACACAATGATCTGCCTTACAGGTTAAGTTCAGGGCAGAAAAACTTTTTATCGCCGTACAGTATCTCTGATGTTTTATACATTTCTTTGGAGGCTTTGAGTGAGTTTAAAGGCAGTGAACGTATGAATTGCATAAAACCCTAAACCGGCTCAAACTGACCACAAAGACTTTACGAAGCTAAATTGGTGCAAAAACAAAGTGGACTTTTATTTACCTCAATTTTGCCAGTCAGTGGTTCCCTGTTGAAGACAGGTTTCCCGTTAAATCTCTCTTTAGGAGGAATTTTCTGCAAAAAAAACAAAGAAACACATTTTTTTTCAGGTTATTTTGGATGTAAATCAAGTGTCGTTCCCCCTTTGAGGCACCAGATCTGTGTTTTTTAGCACAATAATTACAAATCATAAAAACGCTCCAAGGCTTTTTTGAAAACTGTGATTACTGGTGCATTCAAGGACAGTTGGACCTTTGAAATTTCAGAGCTGTCTGTTTCAAAGCGTTTAATTTATGAGCTTAAGTATATCGTAAAAAAAAATCTTATCCACAAGACCAAAAAATAATCAAGAATAAATATGAAAAGCACTATTTTGCATTTATTTGTTGGCGATCACAAACTGATTGTGGTGCGTTCAAGGACACCCAGACATCTGAGATTTGAGTGTCATCTGTTGCAAAGCATTTCATTGACAAGCTCTGTTGTCAAAAAAATGTAAAATACACTGTGAATGTGGCCGTTTCTTGCATTAAAAAGGTTGCTTTCAGCATCCATCTCTCTGAAGTTGGAGTGCCATTGAATGCATCACCAAAGACCCCTTTTCCACTGCATTATCACAAAAACTATAATATAATTTACATAAAAGTTGTCTAAAAATAATGATTGTGGATCATATTTGTAGTTGATGGACTAAAACAGGAAAAAACACCAGAATAGTTCTTTAAATATACAAATAGTAAATGCTAAATGAAAAAAGGAGTGTGCGTGTGTGTGCTCGTGCTTGTGCTCGTGCACATGTGTGTATGTGTGTGTGTTTATCGTGAGAGCATTAGTGTGTGAAAGAGACAGGAGGAAACACAAAGCTTGAAGTACTGCACCACAGAGGGTGATACTATGCCGGTAGTAGCATAGGTGCAAGTAATAAGAGCATCAGTAGAACTAACAGTAGAAGTACTAGCAGTACTGGCAATACTCACATAGTGCTGCAGGAGGTTCTGGATGGTTTTGTTCATCTTCAGAGGGATTTGAAAGCCTCTGATCTGACACACAGACAAGCAGAGACACAGAAAGACCACTGCCCTCGCCGTGACAGCCATCATATTAGAAGTGGTGACTTGTAATACCCCTTTCTGCTAGTTGCTGGTTCGATTCCCAAGCCTGTCTGGGCCCGCTGTGACTGCCGAGTTCAATCCCTGTCGGAGCGACGCTGAGTACGGATACAGGCTGACCGAAGACCTGTCTGGCTGACTGCTTGTTGGTCTGACTGAGTGTGTAACAGCCGTGTGCTTCTTGCCCTGAAGTTGGTTGAAACTGTTTGAGTTGTCATGAAAGCTTTTATTTATAACTCGGTGAGAGAGTAAGACACATACATGGGAGAGAGAGCGTCTGATGCAGCGATGATCTAGGTGTGAAAATGTGGTTGTGCAGTTTCCTTTAAATCACCAAACTTCATAGAAGTGGGTGAGGGGTCTCCCACTCATGCATGTCAAACACAAATCATTAGCTCACTGCAGAAATGCACATCACCTAATAGTTTCAATGCAATACATGGTTTTACTGGGCATATTGGGAACTCGGATGGTCTTTATTAGAGGCCTGCATTTTCATGCAACTCAATGTATTGTATTGAGATTGAAGCAGACGCCACTGGAAAGAGCTCTTAGGCTGCAGCCTTTGTCGGAAATCATTAGATCCAGTAGAAATGTAATGGAAAGCATTACGAACGCTGAGCAATCTATTGCACTAGTGGTTTCATTGGGAACTAAAATGGTTTCTGATGACAGTTTGTATATGTACGCAAGCATACTGAGGGTACTGTTTAAGCTATTAGTGTCACGGCCGTAGATGTAGATCTTTGGTTAATTTTGCAAAAATCAGGAGGAAATTATTTTCTGAGTGATACACATTCGGTGCTGTAGTGAGTATTTTCAGCAGTAGGATGGTGATGGTGTAGGAACTTATCAATATCTTTATTTAACAATGGAATAAAATGTGAAAAGGGTGCTCATAGTGACAAACCTACAGAGTCTGACCCCCAAATCTGCAGCTCTACGGAGCTTTTAAGTCTCTCTCAGCTCCTAGTTTTAGTATTTTACAGTACAGTTAGTGTTTTTGTTCAGACTAAGTGCTCTCATCAGATGAGTTCTGATAAACCCGCCGCACACGACCTGCTCAGCAGCACACAGCAGGCAGACACAGCTAGAGACAAGCTGGTGATCATGGTGAAGCATTTAGCAGCTAAAGAGCCAGATATTTCTCTCAGGAGAGTTACTGCAGTCATAGTTCTGCATCAGTCAATAATGATGATGCATTAAAAGCATAGTAATATAACCCTGCCACTCCACCATTCTGCATAATGAGTACAAATACTTTTATACATTTACTGAAGTAAATGATTGACATACTTCTTTCCCCGATAATTAATATCCATAAATCTGTGTGATATTATTTAAATATAATATCAATGAATCCAGTGAAACTCTGTTTGTGTTTGGTAATTTATTTAATCCTGCTCGTGCAGATGGGTGTTCTTATACTGGAAGTTTTCTTTGAAACGATTTTCTCACGTGAAAACTACATTTCCTAAAATAGCTGCTCACTGTCGTTTTAATTTTCAGCAGCGGATGAATTCACATATTTTCATACAGTATTTGCAGCACAGAAGGTACTGCAGCAGTTGTCAGGGGAAACACTGATTGTTCAACTAATTAAGTAACTCAAAATTAAAAAGAAAGACAAGACATTGTGATTTGATTAAAAGAACAAAGATCCACGTGTGTTGCGGAGGTACTGGTAAGCTGCCCTTCAATCTGAGTGAACTTTAATACATTACCACCGCGTGCTGCAATTAAAAGTGCATGAAAACTAGATAGTAATAGATAAAGAAATAGATAAAAAGATTTAATAGTTTGCTAAAACTTATGAGTAAACTGTTAAAATAGCTTACAGTATGGATAAACATGTGAACTAGCTGAAAGTAATGGATAAGCAGATAAAATGGTTAGTTTAATGTGAGCAAGAAGCTGCCACAGTTCTGGTAAAATAGGGTAACTATATTTTGATTTTCAAAAAAGGAGGACAGTCGGGGCCGGAGGCCAACGGACACCCACAGTGGGTGGAAGGTTTGGGCTGGTGGGGGCTTCAAGTAATAAGTGGCCCCGTGGAAATGTGTATTTTTATTACAACAATAATTTCAGTTAAGCAGAACAAGGGGAATGTGTTGGTCTCAAGAAGAAAGGCGGCTAGTAGGAGCACATAAAGGCAAAATGGCTGCATCTGTCCACCGCAGGTGCACTATCCACCTGGAGGAGGAACTAGTAGAAAGTAGTGTATCCGTATAATATTATAACATTTAAAAAATATCGTGTTAATGTAATGCTAATATATTTCTAGGTTACACTTTATTTGGCCAATGTCTGCTAACAGATTGATTATAGTTTACAGGCCTATTTGTAACAATTCACCTGATTCATAAATAAGACCATTTTTGCTGCTCTGTCTCTTGGCTGTTGCTGTGGTGCTGAGGGGAATTATTGAGATGCAATTTGGCCAATGGTGGCGTGCAAGAAGGCGGCAACTAAAGAGAAAGTTCAAAGCAATGCAAAAACGCACACAATGAATGTCGACTGTATAAAAAGCTGAATCCTGGACATTTTGGGCGATTTCGAAATCCCAGCCGGACGCCTTTTTTTAGATCCAAAAAGATGACCGGGAAAAAGAGGGCGTGGGGTCAACGTAGTAAAACCCAATTTACAGCCACAGCTGCCTGCTGGGAAATCATACTGTGGTTGACCATAGCAGAAGATTAGTTATGTTGTCCAGTGAAGATATAAAAGGTTGGAAATTGTGTCAAGGCAGAGTTTTAACTGTGAGCTAAACCTTTGTCTATTCCAATATTCAGCTTTCCTGGCGTCCTGACAGTCAGTTAACTTGTGACTTATACTGTAATTACCTGCAGTTTGTCCAAAGTGCAGTTTGCACATTTGTATGCCCGTGCTCTAAAGGCATACCTTTTTAACGTTTGTGTTAGCACTATAGATATTGCATGTATTTATTTGCATTTTGGGTGGAATGAGCCTTTCACCACTTTACCTTCAGTATGGCCCTGTCACACCAAAAAATAAGCTTGATGACATCGTGACAGACTCACAGGGCTAGTTGGTGAGTAACTACTGTAGCTGGCAAGCTAACTGCAAACAAAGTGTTAGTCAATCATAATAGCTCTCTTTTTGTTTTTCTTACCCGCCCCTTGCCTTTTGTCCTCAGGATTGCCCATTTTATGTAACAATATCCACTTTTATATAGCTAACAGTGTTAACATTCAGTTTATAATCCATTCATAAGAACCTATTGTGGTGCAGACAGAGGGGATGAGATCTGATAGGACTGTTTGTCAGACTAAAAGATCTCTGATAAAGCATATCACACATGATGTAATGCTAAAACCTATTATTGTAGATGATATTGTATTACAGCAGGCTATATTGTGTAATGACTGATAGCTCAGCGAAGACTAAAAGGCCAATCAAGGACAGGAAATAGTGTCATAAAGAAGATACCCTGGCTGGGTGTGAGGTGTTACTAGTGAGTAATACTGTTGTAAGCAGTCCCTCATTTAGTTTAAAGGAAACAGACAAAATTTGAGCTTTTCTTGTCAACTAGACACACCTATTTATAAATATAGACAAAGTAAGTGTGATAATTGTCTGGAAACTAATCTGAGTGAATTTCAAGGGAGCACTTAAAATATCAGCGCTGCATAGAGGAGGTGAGAAAAAAACCTGCCACATTCAAGGAAATAAAGAAAAAAAGTCAGTAAGTGAAACCAGAGGAGGGTCAGGGCTTCAGAGAAAATGATTTATTATAAGATTGACAGCAGAAAAGTTATTCATCCACTGAGCCCTTAGTTATCTTGGACTGGCTAAAGGGTGCAAAACAACATGACGGGTATGGATATGCCCTCAATACACGGGCATACAAGTGTGCAAACGGCAATAACTTGTGCAAAATGAAGATCGTTTTAAGTCATGAGTTAAATAAAAATATAGGAATATAAAGTGACCTTTGTTAACAGAACCGGGGCTTCTAAAGGCCGCAAGCAATTTTTATCTTTTTATCCTCATATTTCACTCTCTTAAGGCCAATTTATGCTTCTGCGTCTAAGTCTGCGTGAAGTTGTCAGCATTTAGACTTGTGCGTTGGCGTCTGCGTCGCTCTGCAATTACACCGCCAAAACGCCAGTTGGTGGTGGGGTTTCTATGTTCCGGCGTGTTAAGTCTCTTCTTCGTTGTTGAATGGAGCGGGTCATGTTGGAGTTGGAGCTGATCGATATTGAACAGCAATTACTTTTAGTGAAATTGATGGTATGTACGACCCTTGAACCGGTTGAGGCAGAAGAAGAAGGACATGTAGATATATTTTTGGGGAGGATACGGAGTAGGGTGTGGTGTACCTACAGACACAGAAGTATACATTGGCCTTTAGGAGCATTAATACAGCTGATAAGGAACAACCACCTTGCACACAAGCCATTGTCTTTGACCATTGACCTCCTTATATTGGCTGTTGTGTCTCAGCTTAAAAGGAAAACTGAATCTATTGTTGAGCTGAGCGGGAAGGAGACAAAGAAACGCAGGAAACAGGAAGCAGGCAGGTAGATTTTGGTGTTGACATTCAGGTGCGATGTACGTGCAGTGCACGGATATCCCCTAACATACTCAGACAAACAGATGCAAACACAGGAAGAGGTTTCACAGGTGGAGTTTGTCTGTGTTTGGTGGAATTCACAGGCATTTCTTGACAAATGATCTTTAATGATCTTCTTGAATTTCTGCTGAAGTTCTACTAAAGCTGTCTGTGAAGAGTCGTCCAGGTCATAGTTATACAAGGAAGGTTAAAAGGGCAACTGGACTTGGTTGAAGCTACTTGAAGATTCATCCAAGAGGCTTCTTTAGTTCACCATAGTGTTGTAGTACTCAAGACCTGTCTTGGTCTTAAGACCAATTTTTGATCTCGGTCTCGGACATTGAGGACTTTATTTCAAGACCAGTCAAGACCATAACTTTGGGAATATCAGTAAATTGCTTTTGCATTGTCTGATTTATTGGATGTAAAACATATTGCTCCAAATGCAACCAATAACCCTAATTAAAATGTGTTGTTACCGTTAACGGCTGTGCCCGTGATGGTCAGCGTGGAAAAGGAGTGTTGAATAAAGATGCTTACATGGATTTCAGGTCTTCGTGTTTGTATGTGGGTGTTTTTATAGGAGCGTGGATCTTCCATACTCATCTTGATCATATCTCGTTCCACATTTTATTGTGTGTC